CTGCAGACAAATAAAATGATATATTAAACTAATAATCAAAAATTCATAAATCTAAAAACTATCCCTAATTCCTAGAATAGGAGCTTTAAATTTCGTACGGTTTTAATTTCATACGCTCACAATGGTACAAAATTTCGGTCTTGGTAAAGGCTTGGTAGTGATATCCGCTATGTTGTCCTGGGTACTAATTTCAAAAATTCATGTCCTGGTGTCTAATTTCAAAAAATTCTCATCTCCGAAGTTTCAACGGCCTCGCGTGGGTAGTTACACTTAACTAACACATGCTTCGTTCCAGGTAACCTCTTGCGACTCTCGATGGTCTTGATCGTACCGTTGTTATCTTGGTACCAAATATTCTTGGTTTCGTCTTCGTAAATCCCATTTTGATTAATAAAGTTTGAATCCATTCATAACTCGGAAAGAGTTTTGATGCGTAGAAGTCCAGTTGTGGCAAGTAACAGCAGAGTTAGATGCATTATTTCAAGGACTTCTGGAAGGATATCAAAGTATCCCCTGACTGACTTGGACGTGGAGTCGGCGGCCCAGTCGGAGTCGGCATACCCGGCTTAGGTGTGTAGCTCTTTGGACTTCTTAAATTCCAGTGCATAGTCTCCAGTTCTCTTCAGACATTCAGGACATGTCAGGCGGAACGCAGTATCACATATATGTTAGTATACGTATAGGTTCGATACGCCATAATCACTAAGAGGTGATGAAGCACTAAAGTTCCAAATGTTCCCATCCGATAGGAATCACGCTCATTCCTTGGGAAAGAGCAACACCAATGCGTTATTGGTGGAATGGAGTCAAAATCCCCAAGTATAGCGAAAGTTGGGAGACTTAGCGAGCGATGTCCGACGCGAGCAAGGGACCCGCCTATACAGTTGGTGAAATCCACGGGATGCTCCAAAGATCTACTTGATTGCTAATAATTAAGGGACTAGCTACCCCTTATCGACATTGGCCAAGTTATGAAGATTACTCAAGGAGGCGAGAGAAGGTGCAAACACGTATACGCGAGATCCAAAGTTGGGTCGATCCCACGCTCTATTCAGTGATTAGACTGGACGACGGATGCTGTCTCTGACGACATTTCATGAACCGATAGTACAGCATAAGTGTACTAAATTATGCAACGTCTCATTCTCGAAATGAGACGCATAGCATAGGATCAGTCGGAATATTGGACGCATGTCAAACTCCGCACCAATCATTTCGTTTGCCTCAGAACGTCCAATCAGGCGGAGGAATGCGCACAATCAACAATTGATTTTCAGTTGCTCATCTCAAGTTCAATTCTTGAGCAAACGACGCACCTGTCTCGCTACGAATCCGAAGAGCAATCTCACGGCCAACGACCAAGGCCGCTATAACGGACTTGATCATATAGCGAAATGACGGTTTTTACCTGATAGGACAAGCAGCCCATGTTTTCATTGGGTCTCGGTAGGTTTTGTTAAATATTGAGTAAACGAACTAACTGCGTATGAGAGATCTGTTCTGGCCGCCTGAGTCAAGTACATAAAGGACTCGATTAGTGATTGGTAATTTCGCCTTCGATATCTTCAAACACTAAATTTGCTTCCATAGGTGTATTGACTGGATTTGACTCCATCATTAGGAATTTTTTGAGCATATTATCGATCAATGGTGCTGACAAAGTTTCACTTAACGGGATTCATTCTGCTCGACGATCCTGTGAGATGCTCCGGCACGGCCAAAGCCTAAGGTAAAGCAATTACAAAAAACTAACTACCTCACGCTCGAGTGCACAATGCACCAGGCTTGCCAAAGGGGGAGATGGTCGGGGTAGGTGAAGGCAGGCCGAGGGGATCGAGTCCAAAGGACAGGGTCAGGATCAGGAGGCAATCGGATGGTCGATCGGCTTCCAAGTCGTATTTAATGGTGTAAATCAGGGTGAAGGACTTCAAGGTCGCTTTCCCCGCCCTTTTAAAGAGAATAACGACTAACTAGCTAATGGAAATGAATAAGGACGCAAATTTAACGGCAGGATAACAGAAAAAAATAGGAAAACCAATAAAAAATCGACTAACAAACCGTTCAAACAGGGAAATTAATCAATAAAACAGTCAACAAAATGCTCCTGAGTGCCCTGGCCGCTAGGGGGCGCGCCAACGCGTGTTCCTGTTGGTTCTTGGCGCCTCTGGGCTTGATAGTGTTGTGCTGGCGCAGTTTGTTAGTGCTGGGCCACCAAAAAATGGTCCAGAAGCGGCCGGGCCCTCCTGGGGGGTAGGTGCCGCGCGGCGCCAGCCCGGGCCTTTATGAGGGCCTTGGGGACCCACCAGGACTTATTCCAGGGAGCAGGAAAAAGGGAAACTAAAAACCGCCCAAAAAATAGAAAAGAAGATCTAGATCAAAAATTCAAGGAAATCTAAGTCCAGCAGGCAAAAAGACCGGCTGGATGCGGGTGGAGCCAGGCGCCTTCGAGGTATAAATCCATCCTGGCGGACGCTGGTGGTGTGGGATGGTTAGGCGGAATTATTCAATATAATTGAACTCGAGGACATAGTATTTTATTTTGTTCCTTCCCTGTGACTATTTCACAATCCGAGGTATTGCTTCAACATTCTGTTGGTGGGGAGGACAATCTGGCCATCACCCATGGTAGTGTGAAATCTTATAGCAGTTCAATTTTTCAGCGCCGTTCACAGAGTATTATCCTGCGGAGAATGTGATATGTAGTATACTTATCCCCAAAACAACCTCAATACATCTTATACTCATTCCCCCTATGTCCTTCACCTCATTCCTCATCCCTCATTTATCCTTAGAGGCACGCTGCATGACGTCAAGCGCTATACGGGACTTAAACAGATGCATGGCCCGACATAAATTCCCATCATCACCTTTGAGGTTATGCAGCGCGTCAGCTCCATTTATTGAGCCAGCCCACTGTTTTTCCCCTTGTGGTTTTTGGTGGAGAATATTACTTATACTTAGTTTATTATTTCCTTCTTGTATTAGTTCTCCCTTTTAGTTATGTTTTAATGACTTTGTGTATTAGTTAGCCCTCTGTTTAGTTTAGTTAGTAATGCATTCTCTCCTTTGTTATGGCCTGATTTACGTTTCCAGATTTACCATTTGCTTCCTATTTGCTTAGAGGGTGGTTCAAGTGGGAATAATTCGAGGGGATGTGTTCGAACGCTCGGACAATCCTGGTCCATTAACATTTTTAAAATCCCCTCGAAATAAATCGTCTGCAGCCGATCCCCTCCGGCACCACCCATTTGCACCATGAACCAGAGCGTGTTCGCATTGGCACCTTTCGGCCCATCACCTCCCCTCCTCCCGCAGTTCACAGTGCATGGAGACAGCACCGACTCACCTCTGCAACCTCGCGCGCCGCTCGTCTCCTACCAGCCGTTTGCGCAACCGGAGCATCACCACCTATGACGATTATGACCAGAGTTCAAATCATACCTTAGGATCTCATCTTTATTTTCTTTATATCTTTGTAAGGAGTAGAATTAAGTAGTTACAATGTTAGTAGAAATTGTAGCCCCATATTTTAGCTAGATTACTATGAATTTTATTTAGTACTTTGCCTGTAGTTACCAAGGAGTGCATTAGTCTATGTGAACTTAGAGAATTTCTAGTGTTGACTATAAAAGGCTTGTAGCTGAGCCGAATTAGCCAATAAGAAGAATACAAGTGATTTGAGCCACGCTGAGCCCATTAGGAGCTGCACTCACCTGCAGATATACCTCTGCGAACCCATATCCTTCACAGATGGGCAGTTCTACGCGGCAGCGTGTTTGACATCAAGACGGATCAACTGGACGAGCCATTTCTTTGCCAACTGGATCGCCAGGGGTAAAACCTATGTTAACCGCTCTTTATTAACTATACATCAAGAGCTAGTCTCATAAATACGGAGGAGATGGGCCTGTCTGAGATTAACCCCCCTTCTGAAAGGCGCTGCGATAAGGGCAGGATTTGATGTAAGCATTTAAGGTCCTTTTGCATTGTCGTTGTGATGAATCCACTTCTCTTAGCCTGAGGGCATCAGCACATACACATATTGATACGGCTTGCCGCTTGACAATGGGAATTCAGGCTGCCGGTACGCTGTTAGGCCTTGCTGAGGGCTCGAAGATAACGGTAATGATTGCTTACATGATTTAAAACTAACGTTGTGATCTTCAGCGTATACACTATGTGGGTCACGACTTTACGGCGATAAATACTGTTGGAGAAGATGATGATCTGGCCTTCATCCGTGATCGTCAGAAACTCCGTCCTAGTGTGCCACCTCAACTTGCAACTGTACGAGACATTGTCCACCGGTAAGATGCTGTATTCTGCTACGCCGAGGGTCGTCTGCGTTCGGACCTGGTCGCCTCTGGCTGAACCATCTGTTAGAAAGTGACCTGTGGTGTCACCCGCTAGGCCGGGGTCATTCCATATCACTGCACGGGCTTATATAGGACAAACGCTATATATTAGGTAGTGCCAGAGCCTCACCGTTTAAATGAACTCGACGGAGGTTAAAACGCTTTGTTGGGTCTCGAAGAGTCAACCTCTTGAGGAACCCCACGGTTAGCGTACCTGTTACTCCCGCATTGGAGTCTTGAGTGTTCACAAGCGTGAGTTCAACGGCGCGGACTCGTATACCTCCGACCTTACCGCCGCTTTTCCGGCACCCGATCACGATTGACACCCGGACGCGAGGGCGATCGAGCTGGGTCGTAGTTCATTGCCGTCCGTGAAGGATGGCTGAGGCGATCAACCCTCGGAGGACCTTTGCAGGCAAAAGAAAGTGGGTGATGCCAGGAAAATATAGAAAACATTGTCAATAACATGTACGTCTAGTGATTAGACACTGCGAAGGATGTTTACTGATGAAAGGAAACTGCACCTTCATTTTGATAATGAAGTTTCGGTATGCCCAAAAGTTCATCCAATACAAGAAATCAGTACAATGCACCGCAGGTTTGTCCTGTACTAATAATACGTTTTTACCTGCTGCTTTGGCCAAGTGAGCAGAGTGGGATTCGAACCCACGCCTATTACTAGACTACGACCTGAACGTAGCGCCTTAGACCAACTCGGCCATCTGCCCGATGCTTGGTCTTGAATGAGCGTGCCGCAATGGAGCTAATATCAGTTCTTCAGATTGACTTCGCCTCTGCGATGCATCCGACTCGTTGAAATAAATATGGACCTCGCACATGGTCATGGCCATCTGACCCCGTGCACCCTGTCGTCGGCATCCTCCTGCGTTCCTCGCCCACTACCCTCCTCTCCTGCATCATCAGCAGCAGCAATCGCCGATATCCGCAAGTAAACCTCATAGAACTGCGAGAGTGTGTGGGAGGGAAGACGTATGTGCGTGTCCAGGCCATGGGACGGATTGAGAGCGGATATGGAGTGAATGGGTCTCCTGTCCTAGGATGATATCAAGTAGAAACGAAAGACCAGCAAACACAAATGCATGTTCCTACATTTAGCAGATTATCACAGGTTTGCGTTCAAGCCTGTCCTTAAGGGAATGCATAATATGGTGAGAGTGTGCTGGGAGGTACTCGGTGAGCAAGAACTAAGGCAATGATGAGCGCAGAAGACCCGGGTGGATTTGTTAAGAAAGAGAATGCTGAAGTGGAGGTGCAAGTGGGCTGGAGGAAGAACGATCTATATTTAGGACCAAATACATATGACAAACCACATCCGCCAAGAAAGTTCAGACTAATGCATTAAGAAGAACGACAAACCGGGACCATCCAATCAGTAGATACCTCAGGCCCGCTACAGCCTCCCCCGACGACCTCTCCTTGCCCTTCTCTCGTCTCTCCATGATAATACAGCAAAGATCCGCGCGATGCCCAGATCAACATTCCACGTGCCCATGATCGCCATCGCAGCCAGCGCCGCCGTGTTCTGCACGCTCTCTTGCCCGTTCGCCGCCTTCCCCATCCTGCTGTTGCCGAACAACAGGCGATGTCCTCGCCCGCGACGCAACGCGCATTATGGCGCGGGTAGCCTGGTTCTGCGGGCGAGAGCTACACTGATGATGCAACCCCCTCTTAACCCCATACTCGGTAGGCTGGTAAGATAGGCATGCGAGAAAAGGATTATTATTAGCGCCGAGCCTAAACTCGCTGGCACCCTTCCCGATCTAGTCGTGGTAGATCGCGGCATGAAAAGCGGCGATCATTGCGTAAGGTCGTCAAATTTGAGCAGCACGGCTGCCCCCATCTCCGCCGTCATCGCCTCGACCCCTCCCACCGCCCGCAACCCCTCCAGTCCACGTTCGCTTGACCAGTCATCATGGAGGTCGACGGCATCAAGAAGATTCTTGCGACCGACTGTTTATGTGCGTTGTCTCTCTCTGTCCGGAACGAACTGATCTGACTCGGATGGTGTGCAGACACGAGGTTGGGGATTTCGAGAGATGCGAGCTGCTCAGATATCCGGAGGGCGTACTTGACCAGGAGCAAGGTTGGAGTTGCAGCAGGGCTTATCGTTTGCAATATCTGACTGTGGGAACAACAGCTGTGCCATCCCGATCGCCTTCAACACCCGAGGGCCAAAGAAGCATGTACGAATTTAGTCATACTGGCGACGCTTTATCTGACCATTCTTCGCAGTTCAAAGACTGTCGAGCGCTTATCAAACATTATCGGACGCTCAGACGCGGCAGCAATACGATATGTACGGCAAGCTTGTCGACGGCAGCGAGCAGACGTTTGCCGACGCGCTTTCCCAGGTGTTCTCCGAGTTCCTTGCCGGTCACTTCGACACTTTAATGAGAATGGTGGATTACGTTCAAACGTAAGACTGCATTTTACCGTCGTATTCCTAATTTGCTCATAGTCTGCACCCCGACTTAAACATCAGCCGCGACCGTGCTCGGTTTGTTCTCAGTCTTTTGCTCCTTCTCGGTCATGTAACTAACGAATTGCATCAGCCAAGTCTTCGGATCTCTAAGGGAGTTTGTTCTGTGGAGCGGCAGCTGCTGGGACGCCGCAAAGTTCGAGGTCCTGAGGCTGTACGAGATCCAGCACGACTTGCAGTGCCTCTCGTACCTAGACGTGATGGGGAGGTGGAGGACGGCGGGTCAACTCTCGGCGGGGATGATTACTCTGTTGTGTAAGCTTTTGTCGGCGAAGTCGCTGGGGCAGTGATTATTGGGGCAACGTCGGTCTCTTTTTAAACTCAGTTGGTTCGATCAAGAACCAGGAATATTGCGGGGCACCTTTGGGCTGATTTTGCGCCGCTTTCATTTTACGCTTCTTCATGCTTATACTCTCATCCGTATGCTTTGTTGTTTGGCCTGTTACACTCGTTAAGCAACGTTCAGTTATACACACACCTCTTTGGAGTTGAAAACAATTTTTGATCTTTAGTAATAGAAAACCTTTACGCTTGAATGGTCACTTCTTTGCCGCACTCAGATCTGGCGTCGGGTTTCTTAACTCGTGTAAACCAAAAAAACTTTCAGCAAATCCGCCTTTAACCCACAATCAACAGCAAAACCCTTGAACAAATATTGCATTGTATTTCTAGCACTCACGTTAAACAATCAAAGAACAGGTGCGTCAATTCAAAAAAAATAAATCACAATGAAAAGAGGGAGAACACCCATCGCGACAAATTCGGGAGTCTAGACACATTGAAGGAACCAGCCGTGAAGAGTTTGTAAAGGATAGTGAACAAAAATGAGAAAGTATCGGCCCCGAAAACGGAGTCGTCACCCGCCTTCCACCACGTTCGTTTTACACCTGGAGAACCTCGATCTGCCTTCGGAGAGCCTCGATCTCGTCCACCATCGCCTGCCTCTTTTGGTTCAAGGCCTCCTCCCTCTCCCTGTTCATGCGTGTGAGTACATAAACAAAAGAACGACGAGAATTAAACACGACAGCTCTCACCTCAAACTCTGCTCCTTCTCCCTGACCTTGGCGACAAACTTCTGCCTCATGTCATCCTCCTTCCTCTGCATCTCCTCCATCAAGTTCCTCCTCGCGCTCTCGATCCGGCTCTCGTAGAAGTCGTCGCAGGCAAGGAACGACTCCGGGCGGCCCGACTGGACCCGGATCTTTGAGGACCGGAACTGAGCGTAGTGGATGTTGTGGGTCGTCTCGATCAGGTCCTGGAGGTTCGTCCGAATCAAGAGCTCGCGGAGGTGGACAAAGTCGCAGTGCTTCTCGTTCTCGACTGCGAGATGGAAAGAGGTCAGTATCCACTTCGCATTCGAAAAAAGATTCGATGCTTACCTTCGACAGCACCCCAACGGTAAGCCCTACCCCGGACCTTCTTCCCACCGACATCAATCATATCGTCACTCGCAATAACAGAGAATGGGATGTAACGCTGCACACAAACTGTCAGTCCAACGTTCACTCGCAACCTCCAAACACAACGAACCTCAACCAGCGCAATATTCTCCCTGTCCTCCGCATGGAAAGATGGGTAAGCCCTAATGTCATGCTTCTCAAAGTCCCTGAGCACGCTTTTCTTGAAGACGGCCATCTCCTCGGGGGTGAGCGCATCCGCCTTTGCGATGATGGGCACAACGTTCGTCTTAGTGCAGAGGCGTTGGAGGAAGTCGACGTCGAGGTCGCGGAGACCCTGGGCGGACCCCGTGGGCGGGAGGAAGTAGAGGAGGGCGTGAACACGGGTGTCGTGGATGTCCCGGCGCATGTCCTGGCTGCGCTCGGCCTGCATGAAGCGCTCGTATTGGGCGTCGATATAGTTTACGATGGGCTCGAAGCTGAAAAAGGGTAAGCGAACGAAACAATGGATAGGGGGGATGCAAGAACTGACTTGGTCTCGCGGTTAAGGTTGTCGCCGAAGCCCGGGGTGTCGATAACAGTGAGGTGGAGGGTGACGCCGTCCTCAGTAAGCTCGTATGTGACGGGCTGGATCGAGAGCGTCTTGGTGTTCGAGAGATTCTTCTGGACCTTCTGCTCCGTCAACGGGGAGTTGAAGAGCGTGTTCATGAAGGTGGTCTTGCCGAGACCAGACTCGCCTGTTTAAAGAATCATCGTTTAACGGCGACGAATACAATTTACAACGCTCTATCAACGAGCTTACCAACAACCATGATGTTAAAGATGTACGGCCTTCTCTTGGACCGCCTAACCCTCTGCGCCGGCAGGTGCCCAATCCCCAGCGGCTCCGACAGGCGGGCCGTGAAGGACTTGGGCAGCTTCCACGGCCCGGGGTCGTTAAAGCGTCCCCGGAATTGAAGGGCGTATTCCTACATCGAAGCGTAATGGTAAGCAACAGAGCGATCGTGGTCGGTCCCTGGTGAAGGTTGGTCGGGCGGCAATGCACTCTGGCAAAGGCACCGCAAATCCTTCCCTCCCCCCGCGAATGATCAGCTCCAGCACTTCTCAATTCGTCACGGCCACCATCCCGTCGTCCATACGGGCCTGGCGCAGACTGCTAAACGACCAGATCGCCGTTGTCCACGTCAGCCCCCCGCCAACCGCAAATTGTCCCACAGATGATCCGCCCCGCCAGTCCCCGCGCTGGTCCGCATCCGCTCGTCCTAGCTAGATCGTCGTCGCCCAAGTCCGTAGGGTTCCCAGGAGGGGGTCGGCGGCGGCGAGGGCCGGCGACGGCTACTCACAAGAGGCATTTTTTACTTTCTTTCGTTTGGGACAAGGGGATGGACCAACCAGGGCGAAACGGAATCTGTGCGACCGCACATCCAGGCCGTTGTAGCTGATGCTAACACTGTTCTTAGGAAATGTTAAGCTTTCGAGCGTTAGGCTGCTCGTTTCCTCTCATCAATAGAGGTCTTTCATGTTTTTGTTCCCTCATTTCTATAGCGGGCGTAGAAACCTATGATTCGAGTGGTGCTTGGAATATATTTTGGAGGGCGACGACAAGCAAATAACCAAAAGAACAATGAATTCGCGACGGCGACCGCCTAAAGGGAACCATAAGCAAAAGTAGTATCAGCCATCGGAAATGCCAGCCATCGAAAATGCACGAGCATCAATGAGACATCCGAAGCGATGATAACAACAAAAAGCATCCGGGGTAATTGGACAGGTGAAGTTGTAGAGCGTAGGCGACATAATCCTTACGATAGGCACAAGAGAAAAAAACGTC